AAATATGCCCAACGCGCATATTAAAGAGTTAAAAAAAAAATATATATATATATATATATGTGAAACCTACGACTCCGGATTGTATTCGACAGACTCGGCGGTAATAATAATAATAATAAGTATTATCATCGTAACCGTATTTTAATTGACGGGTAAGCGCTATAATAATATGTAATGCGTTTTACACATCAATGGAAATAATTACCCAATAATTATTATAAAAAATTTTTTTTTTTTTAATATTGCGCGTCGGTCGTAGGTACGACAAAGTATAATATGTATATTGGATAATATATATGTATTTATATAAAAACAAAATTCCTTCGAAGAATTGTAGTTGTTGTTGTTTTTGTTTTGAATTTCATCGCAAACGACCTTAAAGTCGAGGGGTTGCCTTGGGGTAGGAAACCTAGGAGAATTCTGTGGGCGTACACAAATAACACAATGTGGCACGAGGCGGGTTAAACAAAAACAACAATTGCACTTCGACCAACGGGTACAAACACGGGACTAGATTAAATCAGAGGGGGGCACTTAATGTATAGAAATAATATTATACTTATTGTGATAAACGAGAAGATAGCCGCCACAAGCATAATATCCACCGTTTTTAATTTTGAGAGTGTTCACCCCCCAGATTCAACAGACAAACGGTTATTATTGACACACTCTCATCAAATATACTAAGTAAGTTGAGAATTCTATTAAACGATTCGACATATAATATACAAGGAGGTAAACATTAGATGTTTTGTCCCTACCTCAGATTTCCTACAGGGTGATTCGTTAAGAACAAGTGGCCCATTTGCTTTTAAAATAATTGCTATTTTCGAGACACATACAATTATTATGTTCTTCTTGTACAATATTAATGAATATTGACAATTTTATCCAACTTCAACGATAAAGTTTACATACATGTATTTAATTGACTTTTTAAATTAAGAACATACAATTTTTTCTGACCATTTTCGCTGATTTATTAAAGGTGGGGGTGTAGTATTATTTTTGCCTGTGCGCACTGCTCTGCCGTTATTCATCTAACGTTATTTGAAGTACCTACTTATTTTTGAAACGAGATGCAAGTATTAAAAAAAACCAAAAACAAGTTGTGTAAACGCAAATGTTGCATTCGGATTGTTAATAATAATATTAAATAGAATTTCTGTTATGTTGTTGAAGTATTATAATGCTATTTCAATAATAACTGTACAATTTGTTCAAGTGGTCCAGATTTTTTTATAAAGTTAAAAACAAGTCCTAATAAACAAGTGAAAAAATCATTGAAGTTTTTGTCAATAAATATTTTGAATCAATACAACTTACTACTACATACAATGGTACATAATAACGCTTAATAACAATAATTGTTATCGTTTACAATAATAATAGTAATAAAACTCAAAACGAAATTAAAGTATAATCATCAATCATTTTTAATAATTATTTTATTTAACAGTGTCGCAAACGTTTAAAATATAATCCCAAAAATTAATTGATGTATCGATACCTTTTTGTTGTGCAAAATAGTATTAGGTTTTTATTTTTTTCTTGGGATTCTATTATTTTAAGTCACACTGATGATGGTTTTTATGATTAATTGCCAGTTTTAACTCTTTTCGTCAGAACTGAACGACTTGCCCCATTCAAGTGTATCTCGTTAAGTTGCAGAGCTTAAGTTTTTTTTTGTAACTTTGTAGCTAATTATTGACCAGCTTCGCCTTTTGCAAACTAACCGACCACTTGTGTCTTCACTTGATGGTATTGAATTTAAGATGAAACACAGATGGGGCGCTATCATTGTACGTCGTGGTATCTGCTGCTATATAAAATATTATAATTATACTACGATGGCCTAATATATGATTACGAAAGGCGATTACCATAATGTATGTACTAATTTGTTTTATGTCGACTCATTATTTGCAACTATTCAAGGAGATAGGCCTTTTAATTTGAGGCTATTTAAATGCGTTTTATAATAATATATAATATGTAATTTTCTCCTGTGCGGTTCTAAAAAAACGTTTGGAATCGAGTTTTATGATCGCATTTAATAACATTACTAATATTTTATTAGGCGCAATAAAAACTACTGTTAAAAATATTATACAATCGCAAAATTGCCGCCGCCCATTGTTAAAACATTTCGTGTGTACTAATAATAATAATAATAAGGAAAAAAATAATTTACATTAACCACCGATAACGCACTCGTAAAACTTCTAATGGGTGTAGTTGACGATTATCGAATTCCTTCACCATAAATTACATTCACACATATATATATATATATATATATATATACACACACCTGAATTATATATGAGTTCCAAATTCCAATGAAAAAACAACAACTAGTACTTAAAAACAGGTGCGCTCTCGTGTACATTATTTTATATATATATTTGCACACGTTTCGTTAATGTAAAAAATATATTTCAAACGTGCGAACCGGATGAGAGGAGAGATGAATGTACGATGCAAATTTGTATGTACTTATGGCCTCTGACCAGGGTGACCACTGTCAGCCGCAGTGACCGAAGAAGGGACGAATAAGATAGAAACCTGAAAGAAGGGCTCGGAATTTAACAAACACCCAAGCATAATCATTATATTGGTCTTGAACCAGAAATATGAATTATTCTATTGCAGTTTATAGACTGTCCCAACTCCTAAAGTCCAGTTGGATCGGAAATTGAAGTGACGTTTGTCGCTGAAGTATCGCATAGTTCATTCTTGGTTACAAACATCTGGCATGAGCTTAGAATGTTCAGACCCTTTAAGCTCCCACAGTTTTCGAAGAGAAAGTACTTGTGTGGCTCTGCCAGTTCGACAGCATGCCAGAGAGTTTTAAAAGATCTGGACTTGCCAGGATTCCCCGTTCACTACGCCTCTGGCTTTGGGCATCGAGTCCTTTTGTACTCTCACGTTCACCGATGACTTCAAAATGGAGCCTCTTTCCTTTTGCTACTATGGCAAGGTGTATTGTAAAAGTCACGTCAAACAGAGTGTTGATCAATTGCATGGCAATTGTCAACTAAACCATACCCGTTTAGCCATCGACCTGTGCCTGCTAATTTTGGCAAAAGGTCACTTGCATTCATCTGTGTATTCTCAGTTATCTTACACGACCAAGCCATTTGACCGTATCTAGAAGAATGAGCCACCTGTTTGTGTGTTGTAGAGGTGAAACTCACTTGATTCCGTTCTTTAAATTCGTTTATTATTTTCAAGTCATCCATTACGGGGTTATTTCGGCTGTTCCCAATTTTTCTTACTTTAGAGAATCGATAAAACTCATATTGGATTAAATAAGTATTTTACGTATGTATTTGTTTTCCGTGTTTGTGCACACGATTAAGCGATTATCGTATTGTTGTTTTCGTTTTCGCCTCGAGGTGCGCTTTGGAAAATATAATATAGATCCGCCTTCTTGTGATAATGAAATGTAATTATATCCCAGTCTAACCCAATAATACGATCACGGCACCGTGACCTTTCATAAAAACATAATTCCTATCTAGTAAATAAATAAATAATAATCTGGTGTTTCCCGTGGTTTCGTGAAGGTCTTTTTAGTTACAATAATTATCATTCGCTTCTGGAACCTATACTGCCAACCGTTTTATTTGTTTATGTGGTTTTAAGCTGATTTATTTTATAAACGTTCGAATGTTCAAAAATATCTTTTCCTTAATAATAATAAAAAAGGTTAACTACAGATTTGTAAAAAATTGTATATGTTATTGCCGCCTCACTCTTCTAAATATACATTCAGTCTAATTTCCTGGCTCGAACTCCTAAAACTACACTGAAAAATATAAATAAAAAGTGTCCATCCATTTTGGGGGGAAAGAGTTTTTGATATTCCTTCTGGTTGTTTGTCAATGTATATCGATTTTGAAGTGGACGGAGAAGGGTGAATTTCTGATTGTGTAGACATGCTTTACGAAGAAATTGGTTCAGTCGCTTTGGACACACAGAAAAGTTTCAAAAAAATCAATCTTTACCTTAAATGTAAAGAATGTACGGTCTCTTATCAATCTCTCAATCTCTTGTCAGCTAATTCTCTTGTCATTCATCTCTTATTAGTTATGCAAGAATTATCGATATCCTCTTATCACCGTACTCTATCTTATTCCAATCTCTCTCTCTCTCTGCCTTTTTTGGCACAAAAGCGTTACCCGCCAACATTTTCGACAGACCCTCCCCCGTGTCATAAGATCTGTCTTCTTTTCTAAAGATTAAGCCTTGTCATAGCGAAAAAATAGACTTCCACTCTTCTCTTTTTAAACGCTAGAGTCTTCATATGTGAATACCCGTTGCATCCAGCCATTCCAATCATCTCTCCTATGAATGTCTTTCTCTTCCTTTGCGTCCATTGATTCTTCCTTCCATTATGTTGGTTATGAAGGAGTTATGTCTCATTAAGTGTCCTATAAGTTTTCCGCTTCTTGATCTAATGATGGATAGCAGTACTCTCCTCTCCTCTACTATTTGGAGACTTTCTTCATTGCTCTTCCTTTCAGTCCAGCTAATACGAAGTAATCTTTTTCAGGTCCACATTTCCATTGCTTCAAGTTTTTTTTATCTTGTACTGTTAAGGTCTAGGATTCACAACCATACAACAAAATACTCTATACGTAGCTTTTGGAAAAGTTTTTTCTGGTCTTGAGACAAAGATTTTCTTGGTAAGTAGTTGTCTTTTTTGCGTGAAGGCTCTCTTTGCCATGGCTATTCGTTAGTGTACTTCCTAAATATTTATATTGTTGTACCCGATCAATTGTGTTGTTATCTAATTGTATGTTAACGATGGGGATTCTGCTCGCTTTACTTACTACCATGACTTTTGGATAAGAAGATATGTGGTCAGATTAATAGGGTGTTTTTAGGGCTCGGCATCGAAGTGAACCTTGTGACAACAAAATATTCCTCAATTACCTGCTGCGCGTTGTGATGGATTTTCTTTAACGGTCGTTTGTTTTTTTTCTTATCAGGCAATGGTGAATGGCAGTACGGAAGAAATAGTCGACAACAGCCCCAACCATCAAGCACGTGGCCGACCTGTGGGCTACAGGGAGCGAGGTCGCAGCGTCGGGTCCGTCGGTCCTATGAGATCCGAAAAACGGTCGGCCGACAAATCGCCGTACTCGAGCGGACCTTACTTGTCGCCACCTCCCCCAGATTCGAACTGGAGGCGTACGCATTCGGACTCGGCCTTGCACCACAGTGTCACCCAAAGTAACTCCACGGAATCGCTGGCGCATTTGCACAGCCCCGGATCTCAGCGCAGAGGTATTTGTATGACCATTTACTAAATTCATATATTATAAACAACTTTATTAAAATAATAAAAAGCGGACTGCCCACCGAGAGTTAGTTGCCAATTGGACACAGCTCAGTACTACTCATTGTCAGTACATTGTACATAGGTTTTTTTTCTCGAAATACATAATACATTTTTTCGGGTAAAAGTAAACGAAAATTACAATCTAAGTAACTTAAAAGACTAAAGTAACTAACAATATAAATAATACTTCCAATGTGTCCTTCAGCACCGTTAGGCACATCTCAACCAATTTTCGTTTGGGAATACCGTGGATTTTAAAAAGGTCCCTCGAATATGAGAAAGACTTTCGATAATTTTATTCCGACTTAAGTCCGACCAACAAAACATCTTACCCTCGAAGAAAAGACATTGAAAATCACGAACGTATCAGATTTTCAGCTGTGATTACTATCTGTCTCTTATCAGTTACCCGGAGATCATAGACATCCCCTTATCGCGATATTTTGGGGGGCTAAAATATAAACTACCCTTTGAATTCCGCCAATGAGTATCATTAAAAAACAATAACAATAGTGTAACGGAACTTGCATACATTTTTATGAATTTTCTACTAAGTGTCAGAAAAATGGAACACGTTTTATTTTAATTACATTTTTTTTCAAGGGCTTAAGCCCAATTGAATTTTTTTTCAGTATTGACCTTTTCATTTAATACGATTTAAAATATTCTCTGCATTTTAAAGTGATTCCAACAACAGCTGTTGACGAAATTGTGATTATTTAAATTTTTTGGTAAACAACTACCCGTTGTAGCTGTAGCTAAAACCACTTGTAAGTTTATCCATGTTTCAAATAAATGTAAACATCATTAAAATATTTCTTGTATAACAATACTTATAAATTTTGTGTACAATATGATAGATGTTTTTATAATGTAATATTTTTTCCCCTGTTATAAACATTTTTCAAAAAACATTGTAAAAGGTTACTTTTTATTATTACTTTAAAACTGTAAAACGACGTAACTCGACCAAGACCTTAATAAATATTAGCTACATGATAAACTCATAAATAGTTGCATTTACTAATTATTTCTTATGCAACAAAAAACAATTTTCCTCTGATTCTCTTGTTTTTTTTTTAAAAAAAGTTTCAATTGGGACAAAATTAATATTGTATGCATTTTTAAAAGTTATATTTATTCTACAGACAATAAGTATTGCAGCGTATATAAAATATACCTACAATAGTTAACTATTTCAATTGGTAAAATATAAAATGTACATGTCAGGGTCGACACAAAGATCTTTAAAATAAGAAACTAAATCGGGAGGCGAGGAGGGAGAGTGATTATAGCCCTGATTACTACCCTTAGTGATAATTACTCCTCTGTGATGTACAGAGTTCCAAGACGATACGAAAATATATTGTTATTTGTGTACTTGGGTAATAATTTTTTTCTCATCTTTTTTTTTTTGTTTTTTTCCAGCACTTATCGATAACCAACAATACGACAAGAAGAGGTACTTGTCCACATCACCCGACAGAAGACCTAGATCTTGCTGTGACGTCCCTAGAGTTCCTGGAATCCAGTAAGGGTCGACGTGTGTGTGTGTGTGTGTGTGTGTGTGTGTGTTATTCGACAGGTTTTTTAAAATTTTTATTAACAAGACGGTGTGTGTTTTTTTTAATTGTTTTTTATAGTGTTTTCACCACTCAGCAAGAACCGGGCGTCGTTCAAATCCCCATCGGCAACAATACCGGTTCATTGCCGGACCTGACCAACTTCCAGTTTTCACCACCGATCCACGCCCCGCTCGATCAGGACGATCAGTACAATTTGTCATCGCCTTACAACAGCAACGTAAGCGTGTTCGAACGATTTAATTTTGATCAAATGTATAACACATTTTGCCGTTAACAACCCAAACCCCCCCCGCTTGTCTAACAAAAAATAACATTTTTTTTTTTTTGGGGGGGGAATAAATAACTATAGAAATGGGTTGTTTGGGGGATGAAGTGGACTGGTGAAAAGTGTACCTCGTGGGGAGAGGATATAAAATGTTGATCGGGTAGAGGAGATGGGATGGTAAGGTAAGAGGGAATCGATATTCCCGGGATAATTGATTAGAGATTTATTGTTAAGAAAATCGGATGCAAAGAGCCGAGTGATAAGTGGAAATCAACGCAGCAACAGCTGTCCAATTCCCAAACAAAGTAATGAATACAAATTTGTAGAAAACGGTAATTACAGTTGTAAATTGGTTTTAACCTGTAACATAGTGAAGAATTTTCGAACGGAGGCCGCCGAAGACGGCTGCCACGTTTTTAATGATTAATATTTCACTAAACTAACTAATAACTATTTAACCGTGTTAAATTTTGAGCGTCCCCCGCCCTGGTTGAATTATATCAATGAAAATAGAGATACCGTGTTATAAAATTGGACAGCTGAATAATGCCCGGATTAAAATTGCTAAGAGACAGAAAATAACTGTTACTCCGTGTGTAGTTTAGGCAGTACACTAGAACCGATGAGATTGTGTTACACAAATTGTTGACGAAAACATGTCTTATAGCTTGAGGGTAGTAGATTCCCGGTTGACTGATAAGATGGTTAGCTGATAAGAGATAGAAAGTCGGCTGTGATAACATGGGAGACACTGATAAGTAAGGTAAACGTTGGGATTTTTTTTTTCCAGTGAGACGGACAGTTTCGGTTTGGTAGCATATGTTACTTGTCGTTATCTATTGGTAAATTATTTACCCCCGTAATAAATTAACTATTGTTAAACTTTATCTATTGTTGAATTTACCAGTGTTGCTCAATCGTTGTTTTATATTCAGCGTATTACCAGTATACTGGTAGATACCAGTATACTGGTTATCGAATAAATGGTGGTATCAGCAGCAGTAGGAGTTAATATTATGATTATCATACGGGGTCTAATCAATAATTATAAACTGATAACGCACATTTCCATTATCACCACTTTAACGCAAAAAACATTGATAACAAAATTTAACTATACATACGTCATTTTTAACAACAGATAAAATTTAAAACAATGTTTTATGCAACAGAATTTATTATTTTACTCCAGTTAAAAGAGTGTTCGAATCTGTGTGTAAATATTTGGTGCGACCCGGCCATAGTGTGTGTGTGTGTGTAATCATATCACGATTAGACAAGACGAATTTTTTCAGCAGAGCCCGATAACGGAAGGCTATAGCCCGCAGGGTTCTCAAGGTTCTCAGGGCACACCGAGCCAGAGCCCGAGCGTTTTGTCCCCGGTATCCGCTAACAGCCGTACGCCGCCCACACGGTTTTCTTTTACTAGCTCTCCGCCGCCCGATTCTCCCCAACAAACTACCGTGGTGACATGCGACATAGTGTTACCAGTGAGTTTTTTTTTTTTTTTATGAATTGTTGTTATCCGTTAAATTTTTTTTTGCGAAATTTTGTGTGTAAAAATTCGTTTGAATTATCCATCATCGGAGATAAATGGCTTGAGTATCTTTTTAGACGGTTTGTGATTGTATTTGGTAGTGTTTTTCTTTTATGTTACATTATTTTAGTAGCTTCCGCGCACAAAGCTTGCGAAATTATCCGAAATGCCCTTAAAACACGTCAAAAACCTTTTTTATTAGGTCAATGCACGAATCACGAAGCTTTCGTTGGGAATTACCGTAAGAAAAATTAAAAATTCTGGATTTTCTTATACAGGGCGTTCCAGCATGAAAGGTAAATAATAGGTGATTGGACATCTGGGGGACCCCCAAATAAGCCACCCGTTTTCATTTTTTCGATAAGTCAAAAATTGAAGATTTCGACAGTTAAGTAAAAAAATAATGACTTTAAAAAACAAAATTATTCAGTGTGAAAAGCTCACCTTAAAAGGGGGGGTCACATAATTTTCAGTCTTTTTCAGCCCCTAACTCTTCTCTTATCACTTATCTTATCATTTTTTCTAACCTCTAGTCTCTAACCATTTATCTCTTATCACTAATATCTTATTATTTATTTCTTATCCCTTGTTTCTAATTATTTATCTCCAAACTCTTATCATTCATCTCTAATCTCTCATAATTTATTTCTTACCAATTATTTCTTTTCTTTTATCTCTTATCAATTATGTCTTAGCATTTATCTTTTATCACTGATCATTTATTTCTGGTCTCTAATCATTTTTCTCTTATCATTTTTTTGAGTTAGGGGCCGAAAGGGACCGAAAATGATGTGACCCCTCTTTTAAGGTGAGCTTTTTGCACTGAATAACAGGGAATATATTTTTTTATTTTTAAGTCATTATTTTTTTACTTAACTGTCGAAACCTTCAATTTTTGACTTATCGAAAAAATAAAAACGTGGGCTTATTTGGGTGTGTCCCAGATGTCCAATCACTTATTACTTACTTATCATGCTGGAACACCCTGTATATTTCTTTTAATTTTTGCGACTGAACACAATATTTTTGTTTTATCATCAGAAATCGTTGTAGTGTTACATAATATGAATATTTTTTCAAAAATCTGTAGTCAATTTTTTTCAAGGGACCACCTGGCAACTGTGTTAAAAGTGAAAAAGAGTATTTGTTTTTATACATTTTTTTTTCAACTATTACAACGCATACAGGCTCTATTTTTGTACAAAAACATGTTTCTATTTTCAACAATCCGTGTTCCCGTTTTATCCTACTTTAATTCTGAAATAAGGTATGAATTTTCCTCATCACGTCTTCGGTGGTTTGACGTGTATTGACTACTTTTTCTTATTATTTTTATAACTATTGAATATATATATTTTTTTTTAATATATTGGAAAATAATAACAGCTTATACGCCAAACCACAGAAGAGAACTTAATGGAAATGCCAAGTCTATTTAAGTCCATCACAGTTATCACACAATACCTATCGAGGCCCCTTAAGAGACTACTGAAGAAAAAAAAGTGTAAATAAATTATTCAAAGTTATTTGTATTAAAATATTGGTGTCGATCAAATTCAAATAGTGTCCCGACATAAATCACTCACAAATAGGTGGTCTCTCTTCCAAAATAACAGTACTTGAAAACGGGTGACAAAAGTTTTTATTTGAAATTGAATGTCGTTAAGAAGGTTTTTCTGGTTTTTTTTTACAACATTTCAGATTTTCCAATCGAACTAAGCGCATAATTTATTGAAAAATACTTTGTATATTTATATAATTTTCAAAATTATTTTACTACTTTCAGTTATAATATAATTTCTAAAAACTCGGGATGTCGTTAAACTTTAATATGCTTTTCCTCCCCCCCCCCCATCCACTTTGCTACTTTGCTTGAGTTTTTCTTTTTTTTTTTGTTACACTATTTTGCTGAATCTTAATATTTGTCTTTACTAACGGCAACAGGAATTTATACGATATAACCATGCATGCTAATAAATTTTTATTTAACTTTTTTTAATTGCTTACTCATAAAAATGTACAACTAGAAACGCGTACACGCTTATTTATAAAAAAAAAATTAAAATTGAAATTAAACGCATATAATATAGTTTATTTTTTTTTTGTATATTTATTTTGAGATATCATTGATATGATTACAGAACCATCTTAGTGTCCCTTACTTTATGAACCATAGGTTGCAACGCACGAGTAAGGTTAGTAGTTTAGCACGCTTCGTTCTATTAGAATATAGATAATATAATAATAATTTTTTACTATAGTATTTTTATTATATTGTATGTATCGAGTGAACGTTTGTGTTGTGTTTTGACTTGAGTTGTATTCTTGCTGCACTTATGTGTGTGTGTGTGTTACTTGTGTGTTTCGAACGGTGTTGTTGTAATAAACTACCTAATATTTTGTTCTGTTTTTTGTCGTTACCCAGGGATTCACGGTGGACAACAGCCCGGGAAACAACAACGCCGCAGAGAACAGCTGTAATAATAATAGTTGCGCCAAAATGCAACAAACGTCGTTAGGTCAGAATTCGAATTATGTAAACAATTGTGTGGCAGGTGGTGGTGGTCAGAGGAACGGCATGAAGCTGGGACCGATGCAGACGTTGATGTACCAGCACGTGCCGTTGTCGCCGGCCCAACAGCTGTCGTGCAGTCCGGTCGACGGGCAAAACGACATAAACTCCTCTTCTCATGTATGTAAAAAACATTTAACATTTTTGCTTTATCTGCTCATGTCATGTGTGTTAATTAACATCCCCTCTAATTACAGCTGAACATAGGAAATTCACAACAGCACAACAACAACAACGCGTTGGGATCGTACAGAAATCAACAGTCCAACCGACCTAGTCCGCAATCGTCGCCCGGACTTACGATTCAAGTACGTCAATCCATCGACACGCTGTCGTACAGTGAGAATTTTAGAGCCGTGCAAGACAAGACCCGTCATTATACTTAAATAATGTATTCGATAATGTGTTGTTTTCATTTTTCTTTACTTGTCTATATATTTCATGATTTTGTCATACATAATGGTCTTACTCAAACGTCATATGTAGTATCTCACCGTTATGCTGGTTTCTTCAATTATTTTATTGTGCAATAATTTCATAGATTATAAATCAGAGTTAAACAAACTATACACAAATTACATAAAGAAAATAAAATCGAAAACTATATAGCTAGGGTCTGGTCTGCTCTGTCTGCTGTACATTGCGGTGTTCGATGTTGTTGTTGTATTTAATAAAGACAATAATTGTGATTTAACGATAATGTTTTTTTTTAGTACGGCAGTTCTAGCCCGTTGTGTAACAGTCCACAGAGTCCGTCGTCGCCGAGCAGCTCAGTCAGTAGCACCAGCAAACAAAATCAAAACTATCAAACGCACAAAGATTTCTACACGAATCAAGCCCAAGCCAACACCTTGCAGCAGCATTTTGAACAATTTACGATGGTGAGTAAAAAAAAAAATGTTGCGACAATCGGTACTCTGTGTAGTAATAATAACGATACGATTAATTCTCAAACGCTGTATGTTTTGTGTTTAAATGTGCTTACTCACACCATAAAGGAGGTGGTAAGTCAATTTTCATTTTTATTTTTAAATCAAATCCAAAATCCTCCTCTAATGTCTAGTATTATAAAATCGCACACGATACTCCATCGAACGATGTCTCCGTCCTGTCTTTTCCTCGCTTATGTAACCGTTTGTTTTTTTGTAAATAATCATTTCATTGTAACTTTATGATAAAATTTATAAAATATTAATCTTAAAGTAAATGCATTAAAATATATTATTCTAACGCTTTTCAAAACTTAACACCACACCACAAGTCTTTGTAAATTACTAATGAAACCCGGTGTTGACCGTTCAATTGACTTTTCCGCTTAAAAGTAAAATCAAACAACAATAACATTTTTATTTATAAAAAAATTCACTCAAGACATTTGAAGAAAAACAAAAGGCTCAAAACTTTTTTTTTACTGTTTTGTTCATTTGTTTTTTTCTCACTCTCTTGTCCCGTAGAATTTTCCAATATTATCGTTTGTTGTTCCGAAACACACAAATTGTACATTATTATATTCCACTTATGAACCCGACACTGTGTTTATTTCAACCGTATGTCCTTTGCACGAGAAATTGTAAAAATTAGCTGTTATGTATGTTAAATTTTGGTTCCGCTATTATATAGCAGGACTGGAACCAACTAATCCAAACGCTTAAAGAGTCGAACGCCACATCTTGGATGGCTACTCAACTGCAGGTAAAACACATGAAATATTTGTTTGACATATTCCTTTGTTTTGTTTTGTTTTTTTTTTTCTTGCATAAAACCACAGTAGTAGTAGTATGGAAATAAATAAAATAAACAATAGTTAAATAAAAAATTCAAAAATTCAAAATTAAACATCGGTTGTCTGTGCATAAAAATGTCATGCGCTGACATTACACAACAATGTAACGCTTGCAATGCAAATTTTTTTTGTTTTTTCTCCAATGTTTCAATATTAATAATATGTACTGATTTGTGTTTTTTTTTTTTTTGGAACAGCTCGACAGTCCCGTGTCGACCGGCTTAGAGTACATAGGCTCGCCCACTAACAACACGTACTTGCAACAGGTAATGTTCTTGCGTTACGTTGAAAATAAAAATATGAAAACGTTTTAGTAGTACGATGAGTTGTGGTCGATAACATTTTTTCTTTTTTTTCCAGACTGATGATTATGTCAATTCGGAGTTGACGGCCGATCCCGGCTACTTTAGCACGTCGCCCTCACAGTCCCTTCAGTATCCCAACCAAACACACACCACGCCAAATACTCCTTCCAGTATTCCAGACATCATACTCACGGGTAATTATTGTACAAAAGTACGGTTATTATGAGTCGGGCGTTACCCGCAGGTTAACAGCTGGGCCGGTGGCAGAGAGCTCTTGAGTTTGAAGACTATTGGGAATAAATCAAAAAAAAAATCAAGTATTTTAAATAATACAGATTTAAGTTAAGTAGGTGGGGATTTGTCGATAAAAAATTATAAATCAAAACCCGATAACGTTGGTGTTGTACGGCAGTGCGGTGTTTTCAATTGACAGATCTCAAGTTTACACATTGCAATGAGTCTGGCTTTTGTTATTATTCAACCAGGAACTCTTGTGGTGGAACTTTAAAGCTATCCCTTCCCATTGATAAACACTAAATGGAAAAAAAAAATGTATTGATATTATTAACCATGTATTTTACTCGGTCCAACATAGAAATTGTGTAAATAGACTAGCGCAACGTAGGCATAAGTCAATTTGACTTATATTATAATAGTTAAACCCACGTTTTGTTACCGCTGAATGGAACATTTGTATAATTGACTTTTTTCTGTTAGACAATATTTTTTCCAATTATAATCCATACCTACAGTGCCTCTGAGCACTTGCAATATATTTGACCATACCGGTGTGAGTGTCCAGGAAGCTTTAACGAGTGGAACACTGTTGGAAATAATCTACGGTCCACGACGGGTCGTCGTACGAGCATGTCGATTTTATCCATCGAGAAGAGTTCAGTGGACCGACTTCCATTTGATAGTATTTGATATTTATTGAGAAAGCAAGACAAGTAAAATCTGTAATTTTACTGTTTTGTCTATTAAAATCAAGATTATATTACTATCGGTTTTGGTTTAAAAATTGTCTATTAAAATATAACTGTCGATATTATTATTATACATAAGATATTAATTTTATCAAGATGCTCAGATTCCCGAGCTTGTCTTGTTGCTCTCTCTTCCAATCCCTTCAGCTCTACATTGTCTCCCCTTATTCTTAATATAAGATCTCTTCTGTTCCGCATCTTGTCCTCTGGCAAAACCGTCGTTCAATTCTTTTGGGTTCCAGGGCACTGTGGGATAATTGGTAACGAGACTGCCGATTCCCCTAGCCACTTCCACCGCTTCCTTCATTTTGCCTCAAGGCCTAACCACTCCTTTTTCTGACAGGTTTTCGTTTCTCATCTCCTTTTTCATTGTATCACTCTCTCTCCCCATTGAGATATCCTTCTTAACCTCCTATCCTCTTTGGGTATTAATGACCCTAATCCCTATAACATTCTCAACTGTCGCTCTGTCCAATCCATCCTCAAATTCATCCTTGATGCTGGGTTTCATATCTAATTGTAAGTAAAGATATTTTAACAATGTGTAATTTTTTTATATATATATTTTTTTTTTCTAATATTATTTTAGTTTGCATATACTATCATTAATCTGTGTAATTGTTGAGCTGTTAAATTTATAACAAAAAGGTTATTAAAATAAAAAATAAAAAAAATTTATCAAGATTGTTTTATTTGTGGTTTCTTTTTGGAGGGGGGGAGGGGGGGGGGGTAAGTGTATGAAATATTTCAAGGTGCAAATTTAGTCGATTGTGGTCGTCGCTGCACAGCCGTGCCTGCATTGCCGCCCGACTGTAACACGATAACGCGTTACAAAATAAATTATTATTGTAATAAAAAATATGAAAAATTGTTGTCTTGTAACGTTAATGTTTGTTGCGTAGATTTTTCCAACGGCGGCGATCAGCTGGACACGCGGAACGATTACGTCAAAGGAATAGTCAACTGCAACAACACGTTCGACACGGCCGGCTTCTTCTCGACCGAAGAAAGCCTGCGGCAAGGTCTGGTCGATCAGCTCGACCTGGAACACTTGCAGATGTTGGCCGAGTCGGACATCGAAGCCGTCGCCAACAACGATCACTTTCGGATGTAAACGACGATGGCCGTGTTTCTCCCACAATTGTCGTCAAAAATTCTTCTTTTTTATCGATACCGTTTTAATTTTTTTTTGGTTTTTTTTTATCTGTGATCTACCTACGTTTAGCTTTTTTTTTATCGCCGGCCGATAGTGCCGATAAATAAAATAATAATATGTAGCCGCAACACACAACTGTTATATTATATTTTACTCGTTTGTTCGTTTTTTTTTTTAAAAAAAATTTTATATACGTTGTTTTACTGTTTTTTTTTATTGCTATTTTTTTTTTTTTTTTTATTACATAGTTACCATCTATTATAATATATTTATCGATTATCGTTACATATTCATTACTAAATTTTTTTTGTTTGAAAATTTTATCTGTAACCCTATAACGTTTTTATCGTCGATGCACGATGCATATTATTGTGTTATATAATACCAAACGAGAGTAGTGGCCGCGAACGATAAGAATGAAAATGTAAAACGTTTTGAATAGTACGTATTTTTTTATAACGTTAATTATTTTACAGAAATTTGCAATACTTAAACGCGAATAGGTGCCCCCCGCTTCCTGTCCCCCCCCCCGCCCCTTTTCTCTATTTTCTTTTGTTAATTATTCGTATACCGTACGTGGATATTTATAGATGTTTTTTTTTTTTTATTTAATATTTTTAAAACGACAATTAAAAGACAAAAAACGTTCAGTTAATTAAAAAAAAAAAAAAGAGATCTCGTGTTAGATGTATTTGTTATTAATATTAATAATAATAATAATCGAGACGTGGGAATGGCTGACGAGAGAACGTTCTCGCTAGTTTTGCGATTTGGCGATTCCGACGATCTTTTTTTTACGATATTATATTATTATATATATACATGTGTGTGTACAATTATTAATTTGTTTTTTAAGCCTTTCCATGGCGAATTTTTTTTTTGGTAAATGCATGTCTACGAATAATAATTATTGTGTTCGATTTAATGTGCCTTTTTATTTGAGAGTTTCGACATTTTTGACATTTTTCGACTCGGAAATAAATTTAGTTTACACGTCGAAAATTATTAATTAAATAATTGTAATAATAGTATGATCATTTTTTTTTTTCTATTATTAATTAATACTTGTCTATTATTATACATTATAATATTTACTTAAAATTTAATAATATATATAAATATGTATAAATTATTTTTACCTTTTTTTATATAATAATAATAATTAAAATTTTGGTTTCTTTTATCTCTCGATATATATTATATACTTTTAAGTTATAATATTATTGTGTTCTTTATAAGTAAAAAAAAAAATTATATATATATATTTAGTTACGAAACTTTTAATATAATACTACGTTATTTTCAAACTATTTTTCGACTCTCGACGCAAAATTCATCGTTATATTAATTATTCGTAACGGTATAAGTATGATTTGAATAGCGATTCAGTTGTCGTTGTGTACATAATTTATAGAATCGGGTTTACGTGATTTAAAGAAAATGTTCGGAATACGTACAACAAATTATATTTCGTTACAAGTACTTGTCGGTCAAAATAAAAAACGACAACACAAAAAAAACCATTCTGAACGTTTTGTTTAAATGACGATTGGCTAAATTGAAAAATTTTTAAAAAAATCATTATTATAAATAACAATTCCTACTTACTTGTTTTTCAATTTTATTTTTTTTTTTATAATTGTTTCTAAAATAATAATTACGTAGCGTACGGTAGTAGTTTTAAGAAATAGTTTTAACCTTTATATTATTATTATTATTATTAAAAATCCAAAAGAAATAATATTCAGCCCCCTGTCGACTTTGTTATTTCATATGTTATTACGACGGCGCCGTATGTTTGTCAAACATATTTTGCTAGATTGGAGTCGTTTACTCGTTTACTTGTACTTACCGAATACTAGTCAATGTATAATCCATTATTATGTTGTTGTTTTTCTTTTTTTTAATTATTTTAAATCCCTAATTTTTGTGATTTTTTTTAAATAATGTGTTTTTAATTCTAGCTATATTTAAACTTTTTACGATTAAAATATTATATTCTTCTTTTTAAGTAAAAAAAAAAACACGATGTTCATTACATTTGAACACAATTGTTATGAAAACGAATACTGTGTATTAGGTGTTTCTCAAATGATCGTGTTTGGGTGGTTCGGCGGCACCGGTGAATACGATATGTGCAATATATATATATATATATTATGATGTCTACTACGTGTCGCCGAATCTTAGCGTCAATGAATTTTTACTTACTTACTTTCTAGAGGGTCTTGTAACACAAACGGTACTCGTTTTTTCGGGGGTATTAGATATTTATCGTTGTCGAGTCGCCGACAGATATAAGCGCACAATTGGACGACCCGAGAGAAAACGTTTGTGCGAGACGTCAATTGAGAAACACTCGATAAATAATAACAACAACATAAACATCGGCCAACGTTAATATTGTACTTTTTTATACATAATATATTTAATATATATATATATATATATATAGATTATATTTATTGAACATTAATGAAAAAAACTTATTTGTACATTATCACATTTTTTTACTATTAAATTTTAATTCTTTCGATTCAAAAAAAAAATGTTGTGTGTCGTCTTGTCTTGTACGTTACTTGTAAATGCCGTAGCTGCCGAAACCGTGTCCGCCGTGTACGGCGTAATTGGAGTAATCGATCTGCGGGTTGGGATTGCTGTTGGGCAAATATCCGGGCGGCGGAGGCGGCCTGGCCGGTCCCCATCCGCTGTAGTTCGGATTGGGCGGCGGCTGGTACGGCGGAGGATACGGCTGCTGCTGATAGTTGGGAGGAGGTGGATACGGACCGCCGGGATACGGGCCCGCTCCGTAGTTCCATTGACGGGCGAACCACAGCGTCGACGACGGTTGCAGGTCGAGTTCGTCGATCGGATAAGCCGCCGCGCCGACCGTCAGCACGATCAACTGTCACGTAACATACACAAAAGGAGGAAGGATGTAGTGTGCTGATATGTAGGTACCCCGACCGCAGTGGGGGGGGGCAGGTTAGACCCCCACCCCCTAGTGATAAACCCCAAATGGAAAAAAAATACAATAAAAATATATAAAAAAAAAAAACTGTTTAAATAAAAATACTTAGGTATATGTTAATTGTCATGAAGATCACAGTTTTCTTGCTAATGAAATCATGGTGATTGTCAATTATTGAGTTTGCCCATTTCACCACAGTGTACTTATAAATTAAGTCACTTTAATGTCCATAGTGAATTTAGTGATTGCACGTTGAAATATTTCAAACACTAAGAGTGAATCACAAACATGTGAAAGGTTTTTGCTTTCCATTTGGGGTGTATCACTAGGGGGGGGGTCTAACCTTGCCTACCCCTTTGCGGTTGGGGTACCTTCCAACTCAACTACATTCCTCTTGCCCCCCCCTTGCACTTGCAACAAACTGTTTGAAAATTATTGGAACAATTTTAACTTTTACTTAAACAATGTGTTATCTAGTTGATTATTTGGGTTACATTTTATTTGAATGATGCGCAAATTCCCTGGAACATTTCCAAGACCGGGAATTGATTGGGAATATCATAGTTCTTTTATAAATATTATTCATATGTTTAAATTAAACGTTCATAGTTATAAATTATTCGCATACAAAATATATTATAGGAAGACTTTTTGGTAATTATTCCAAAATTATGTTTAATTTATATTCCATACAATGTTGTACGTTTTTAATATGTTTAAAGATTGGATTTTAATTAATTACTTTTTTTTGTATTTTTATGTATTTTTATGTACTTTGTTTTCTTTTTTAAGCTTCGATGAACAGCTATAATTACTAATTAACAGCAATATATTATATACAAAAACATTTAAAATTAACTTTACTCTATACAGGGTGTCCCACAAAGATAATATAAATGAATAAATATTTGTTTTAGTGAATATTTTTAATTAATTTTTACTCATTTGGTCCTATAAGCACCACTTTTTTTTATTGCACTTATCTATTTTACTTTTTTTAATTATTTTTTTTAGTTACATTTTTTTAAAAAAAATTCAACATAGCCACTTTGTTGAGAATAATTTGCATTTAAAATATAGTCAAGTGCAATGAATAACGTGATGCTTGTATCGCAAATGAGTATAAACTAATTAAAAAAAAAAAATCTTAAAATTATACCCTAGAATTAAATTTAATTAATTTGTCTTATCTTTGTGGGAGACTCTGTATACTTCTAAAAAAAAAAAATTACCAAAAATAAAAACGAGTTACAACTTGAATGTTTCAAAAAAAAAAAAAAACTAATACCTTTATAAACAAAAATAAAATAAACAACAGTTATATGTTGTGTATTTTATTCAAATACACGTTTATGTAATTCATTTTATAAAATATAATTTTTAGTTTTTTTTTTTGGAATATTTCTAGTAGCACAATTCTATCTGTACCTTCGCCATTTGCACACAAAAAACCACCAAAAATTAATTTTCTATGTAAAACCAACAACGACTACCTTTAGAAATGGTTTTAAAAATCTAAAAAAAAAATATCAAACATTTTCTTTCTAAATGTTTACACATTTTTTTTTTGTTTTAACCCCCCTCCCATCTTGGTTTTTTTAATAGCAACTCGAACTGTAACTTTTAAAATTGAGAACAATGTACACCAAACGTTTTGACTGGTTACGCAAGAGTTTAAATGTTAAAAAGGGCAAGCAGCGAGCGAAGATGAAAATAATACCTACTGCACCTACAACCTTTTCTCCTGCTTTAAACAAAAATGTAGATATTATCCAAAATGCAAAAGCTGTACTTACGGTGCAAAACAAAATCGCCAACCCTTCGACTGTCGAGCCCATCTTAGTGCGTGTGCGTTGGGTTTTTCTTCCGGCTTCGTTTGTGTCGCGTCCGGCCGCGGTTGTTCCGGTTATATACAACTTTGGCGTCCCGGGGGAATCGAGGGGAACAAGAGAAGAAGGAGGCGAGGCGAGGCGCGGCTGTATCGCCTGGACGTGTGTGGTGACCGAAAAGCCTTGACCGTGACCCGTGCGAGGTTCATCAAACCGGATGAACCGCGGGGGGGGGGGCCGGATTCTTCGGCGGCCGCGTTGGGAAACGCACATGTGATGTAAGCCTTAAGATTAATCTTATATATATATACAGGGTGATTCATAAAGGATAAGACACTGATTTTCTCGGAATATATTAATATTTTGAACAATTATTTTTTTGGTACACATTGTACTATATTTTTCAACATTTTGAACATTTCTATCACCAATCCTTAAAGGCCAAAAAGGGGGATTTTAGTTTTTTTTTTAAATGGCAACGTATGTTTTTAGTTACATGCATTTGTAGACAAAAAAATAAAAAAATAATATTAGCGTTTGAATTCGGAATTTTCATTTATTTGTTCATTTGTTATGACTTTATAAAGATTTGATTTTTTGAGTGTATTTTTATTAATATTTTCAATTGTCACTATAAAGACGAGTAGTTTCATTACACGCATAAAAATAATTTGATAAAGTGGGTTTGTAAAACCAACCTGTGTACCTGTGTTGGAATGGGTAATCTGTAGATAAGAACCGTTTGTCTATCATTATTTCAAAGTCTTTTACACCAGTGACTTTTTTTGTTAGAGTGTTATCGCCAAATGGACAATGCGAACATAAATATGAACTTTATGTGCTACCGGTTTTGGAAAACCGAAGAAACATGATAATTATTAAGAGAAAATGTAGTATCTTAACAAAGTCATAGCTATTGAACAAATAAATGATAATTCAAACGCTAAAATATTTTTTTTATTTTTTCTCTAAAAATGTATGCAATTAATAACATATGTTGCCATTAAAAAAAAACTAAAATCCCCCTTTTTGGCCTACAAGTATTGGTGATAAAAATTTTCAAAATATAGTACAATGTGTACCTACCGAAAAATCTTGGAAAAAAATATTGTTCAAAATATTAACATATTCCGAGAAAATTAGTGTCTTATCCTTATTGAATCACCCTGTATACAAAAATTCAAACGCTAACATATTTTTCGTCTACAAATGTATGTAATTAAAAGCATAATATGTTATGCCATTTAAAAATCCCCCTTTTCGGCTTGATTGGAAAGATTGGTGATGAAAATTTTCAAAATATTGAAAACTGTAGTAGTATATTATGTACCTAAAAGTTTGTGGGAAAAAAAATTCAAAGAAAATTAGTGTCTCAAGTTAGTTGGATCGCCCTGTATGTACATTATTTTGTTTATCTTGTCCGGGTTTGGACCTAAAAGTCAATAAACCCGACACCGGAGTCGATGTGCTTCATAATAGTGGAATTTTGTGGGGCAATACCAGACAAAACTGAAATTATCTTAAGAAAGAAAAAAATGATTGTATTACCTTCGTAAAAATCATCCTGTAGCTGTCTGTCCTTGTGTATATTATGTTGAATCGTTTTGAGTAATATTCTTAACTCAGCTTGTAACTTGGTTGTTTAATTATAACAAACGGTTAAATTGAATTATTATAAATAACCCGTGGAAGACCGGGGGAATACCGGTCATCTCTATAAATATGATAGCCAACATTTAGGATAAGCACATCATTTTGTTAACTGTTGTTACCAAAACCCAATACCAGATGTTTCAAAAAACGGTAAACAACTTTTTCCCTCCAAAAAATTACCATCAATATTGTTATCCCGGTTGATGTGAAATTTTTCCAAATTGAAAATCAACACTCGAGGTGAGAAATTACATTTTTTTTTTTTCTGTATAGAATGTTTCAATCGTATCAAAAACTTACAAGAATTAAATTATTGCGTTCTCATAATCTACCTAATTATTATATAGCTTAGGTACATGTTTTTTCCTATGTCAGGTAAAAATACAACACGATTTGCCGATTAAAAATGTTTCCACTTCTACAACAACATGCTTCTCTGATAAACATTTTTTTTTTTTTAAATTATTGTGGATTATGTCAGCAGGTAATTTGATCAGCAAATATATTTACATCGTTCTGCTCTTGGCGGGTAAATTCAATAGTGCCATTTAACTTTATCGTTTACCCTCCAAAACACACTGCAACACCATTTATGAATGACTCTGTATATATTTATAACACACCTATATATATATATATATATATATATAATAAATAGCTTTAGTCTTTAATATGTTCGGACAAAACGTATCTACAATTTAGTGGAGAAACGACTTTTGTAAAGCTGATTTATTAAACGTACAAAACGCTTGAACAACGAACCCGAGTCGCATAAATAAGATTACCGGTCGACTTACAAGTATATATTTTACTTGTCGGTTTTGTCGTTCGCTTTTAGCCGTAGCTAAGTTAAGTTGAGTGAACGAATCAGACTATTGTTTATAATAACGCTACGGTTTGTCGTAGTGGGTACTTATTCAACAGAGCTTTTTAGTAAGTAATTGCTTGCTTTTCGGCGTCGTCACCCATAAATTAGGCCAAACCATTGGATTGGCCCAAAACGGATTTGATTGTGTTCGCTGTCACTTTGGGCAAATCGTACATCAATTCGCTTTATCTAATTATTGTCTACACTGTGGCCGTTCATTGTGAATGGGACGGGGGGGGGGCACTGTTGTATGTGTACATATTAAAACCATGTAATTACCGTCGTGACTGACAAATAACGTCCGCCAATGCTCCAATAGAAATACATTTATTACGCTTTGATTAAAAACCATACAGTCAGTTAAAGCTCGCGGCCACCACGCTCTGCTGCCGGAGTTGTGTATTATTCGAATATTATTGGCAAGTGCGGTTTTCAAGAGTAAGTCAATTTTAGTAAACACAATTTAAGTTTTGTTTTTGTTTGATAAAAAATTATTTAAAAAAAAAATCTTTCACATGAAAATGTAGACAAACAAAATATACAACAAATATAAGACATAATTTAAAAAATTTCCTTTCATCGTGATGGATTTAGTTGCCTGTTTTTTTTTTTTTTTTGCTATAATCTGGAACAAGTATTGTTGCTGTTCTTCTTGTTTAGTCAGAACACTATTAAAATTATTTACATAAAAATATATTTATATCCGAGTGGAAAAAAAAAAGTTTCGTGATAATGCAATTTTTTAAATTTTGTACGGTGTTTGTTTGCAGTTTTTGATATATTTTTTTTTTTTTGACTAAATCAATTTTAAAACAGTCCTAACTTTTAAACTCATATAACTTCGAAAACCATTGTAAAAAACTGGTTATCGACCAGTCAACAGTTTTAGTGCATTATTCTCAGTTAAAAATGTTACCGTTTAAGTTACAAGAGTTGCTATTAAAAAACTAAGTTGGGAGGGGTGGAAAAAAAAATGAATGAAAAATTGAAATCACACTGTACAAAAACATTTTGAAAAAAACTGTTAAATTTCTTATTAAACCCTTTGAGATATTGAAGGGTTCACGATAAAATAGTTACCCTGTATGTATTACTTATAAAATATAAATAAAAAGGTACTCACATAGATATTTTTCTTGCTAATAATTATATTTGTTATAATAGTATGACTATTTATTGTTCTTTATTCGAATAAATTGTTATTTTAGTTTAGCATGGAACATGCTTTAGCCTTGGCCCCCTAGCTGGAAAACGACACAAAATAGCGTCACGAAAGTAGCGCGAAAGTGGCGCGACTAGTGGTTTTTTTTTTTGTATAAAATGTCTTGAGGCAAGTCTTTTAGGTTTCAGACAGTATTATTGTATAATAATAATTATATTCAGTGCATCAAATATCTAAATTGATTTCATTGTTGTATAAACTTATCGTTTACTTATTCACAGCCATATTTACAAAAAATACATAAATTGATATACATTCATAATGTTTAAAGTTAGCCATGAAAGGTACAAATCCCTATTATATCCCTATCCCTTTACAATAGCTTGCGTACGAGTCCGCAACCACAGGAGATATTTTATCTCTAAGCTCTTATCTCTCTTGTCTCTTACCTTATCAGACATTTTCGTTAGGTTTTTCAACTGTCGGTTTTTCCGGTTGTGTGCCCAAGTAAAGATAAAAAATATGAAAAAACTACTTACAAAAAACATTCGGTCACAACATAAAATTAAGACTACACCGTCATTATATGTTGCAAGGAGATAAGGAAATAATCATTATTCAAGAGCCAGAAGAATAAAGCATGTTCATGTTTTATAATTTTAACCGTGAGGCTTTATTAAATTGACTGTAACTATTTAAATTTCAAATTTTTATCGAAGGCTCAACCAAATCATGATTGTCGCTGTGTACACACTGTTGGCCGCCTTGTCTTCTTCCCGGGGGATCTTGTACAACGTCCTGGTCAAGGACAGCGATTCTGCCGCCTCGAGCGACCGCTCGCTGTTGTTCGCCCGTTCCGCCAACAAGATCATCGACATGTACGTGGGATCCCGGCCGGTGGTGCTGTTCGCCGACGAGGTCGTGCGCAGCGAGCTGGGCCAGCAGCTGTTGGCCGGGCTGGCGCACCCCAGGCTGTTGTTGGTGTCGCACGGCAACCTGTCGCTGGCCAACGGCCTGATCGTGTACCTGCAGGACGACCGGCGGCGGGTGGACTACGCGCCGGTGTTGAGCAAGCTGCCGCTCAGCGACCACTCCAGGCACATGATCCTGTGGGACGGCGCCCGGGCGAACCTGCACCACATCCAGGTGATATTCGAGAGCTTCTGGCAGTATCAGCTCATCGACGTGGCCGTCATGGTGCCCTTGCAGACCGGCAGCGTGCGGGTGTACGCGTTCAACCCGTACTCGGAGTCCAGGTGTGACCAGGCCGGTCCGCCGATCATGATCAACGTGTGGCACGCCGGGTTCAACGTGTGGATCAAGAAAACCCCGGTGTTCGGGCTCGACAACAAGCTCAGAGACTTGCACAGGTACGTTTCCCCCAAACCTAACCTAACCTAACCTCCCAAAGGTGTACCAAAAGACATGCACATGCAGCAATGTCAAATTGCTAAAATCCTTCTAGCATCTTAGATGAGAA